ACCGTGGAAAATAAGCTTTAAATTTTTTGACTATTGCTATAATTGTCTCCAAACTATACTCTTGGATGTGCCATTTACTGAATATGAAAGTTTGTCGACATGCAAGGCGCATCTGTAAGTTTGGTTCTTGATGATTATCTGGGTCTTGTAAAAGTAAACGGTGGAAAATTAGTCGGCCCTAAGAAGAAAATTGCATTGAGGATTTGATTGAGCATGTCCCGATGCTTTGATTGCCTTTGAAAAGTTAGAAAAAGAGGTTATTAGTCTACTTCAGTTTAAAAACTCACTCTATGATTGCTCATTACGATGATACTACCAGTTGCTGCTAATTTTGCAAACAATACCTTTACTTTTTTTGACTTGACAATGCACCATGAAAACTGTTGTTCAGAATGCATAATTTAGGAGAGAACAATTGAGAGATATCATTGGATGCTAATTGTAGAGATAATAATAATCTCAGACGTCCTCACCCTTTTATGGCGAACCATGTTGTAATATTATAACAAATTATATCCAAAATAAACACTAACAGATGGTGCTTTGAATTCCCCTTCTGAAATTGTTAGACCAGTCAAGGGAATTTTGATTACGACCTAACTAAGAGGCAGGGGTTCTGCTCAATTTCACCGGCTGTAAAAGTGGAAGGAGAACATGTGGGTTATCTACCACCATGGAACTCAAAATTGGCGTATTTGTGGGATTAGGACCACTGATCCAGTTTGGTTATTGGTGGGGTGGCGGGGAGGCTTGGATCTTCATCATCATCAACACTGACACCATTTTGGAAGTTCAGCATTACAAAACGTTGCAGAATTGAAGGCAGCGCATCTGCATGCATCATTTGGAGCTCTGCACTCCTCAGTCCTGCTACGTGCTATGCCCCACTTGTTATCATGAACCTAGCTAGTACCAATTTTGACCTGAAAATGTGTTCAATGACAATCTGCTACAGAAACTTGAGAACCCTTTTCAAAGGTAAAACAGGGCAGTTGAATTGATTGGGTGGGGGTGGGGGGGGGGGAGTTTAAGAATATTGATGATTCATAATTGTTGGTTGGGTTCCTACTGCAACCATGCAAATATCCCACCTTACCCTGCACTTTTGCACATGGGAATCCTTTATTGTGTTGACTGTATCTGCATGCATCATTATTGAGATTTGAGAGTGCTCAAATGGATATAATCCACATTGAATTTTAAACCTTTTCCTCCTAATAAGTCAAGATCCAAATCTGAAAAATATTGCTTTACACATATTTTCCATCTCATATGTGGGTCAATCAAGTTTCTAATCAAATATATGGCGCCAAAAATAGGGAGGGGCATGACCCACCATAGCCTATAAACATGAACCCTAATTGCAATTAGGATACCCCAATTCCAATTCCACTATGTCTCTGCATGCGCTTTAACGAAGGTCTTACGTGTGGGGTTGCTTTACTTAGTCAATTGATTACTTCTTCCTAATGATTGTCCGGAAGGCAAACACCTCAAGATTTTCTTCTACTAGAAATCTCTCTTAATAACAAGAGAAGATCTTGGTTCAAGTATGGATAAATAAAAGGAGTCAAAAGACAAATTCATTCATGATTGCATTGTGATTTTCTTTGAAATTTCCCTACTTTAATACATGATGGTTTTAGTATCTAACTAACCAATCAGTATCTACACTTTTTCTTTCTTTCTTCTTTTTCTCCCATCGTACGGTCATAGACTCTACTTTTGATTATCTCGACATATCCAAAATTTTTTTTATCACATTTTCAGGATGGAAGATCTACACATCTACCTGTCAACTTGTCAATTTGATCACATGAAAGCCTTCAAATTCAAGTTCAAGAAATTACCATATGATCAAGACACAAAAATCGGATCTACCGTGAGACAAAGGCGATGGACACCATAAACCATGCTGTCTCGAGACATTGCCTCGATTAGATGGTATAGTATGGGCAGGCACATGTGCCATGCTGGTGAAACACATTTTTTTTCTGTTGATATGTTGAAGTGAGAGGAAAGACTTAAGGGGCGTGGAGGGGCCAATTTTTAGTGCTCCCCAACTGGAAGATTTGGTTATCTCCATTGGATCAAATCGCTCCGTGTTTAGTACTTGAGAAACATGGATTTGATTGAATGTTCAACTTTTTTGACCCACCCTCCATAATTTCATTATTTTCATCATCCATCCTTTGTTAATGGAATAGAAAGTTGCAGGCTTTTGTATGTATAGGTCCCCCTCGAGAAAATATCAATTGGGTTTTGTTTAATTGAATATCTCTCCATCCGTAGTTCACATGCATGGCTCTTAAATTTCTTTTTCTTCCCTTACTTCCTTTTTATTCTTCTTTGGCTTTATGTGGATTAGCTTTTAAGGAGCATATATCGGCTGCTGTTTCTAATTAAATAAATAAGAGTATATTTGAAC